ATCAAGCTTAAAGGGAGTATCTCACCTTATTTGTACTCTTCACTTGTTACAACAGATGCGTACGATTTTATCAGCAATACTAGTTTTCTCGAAATCCTTCTGATAAGCTCAGAATTTTAATTTAAAGTACCCCTACCCTGCGGGAGACATCTCATTTGACACCTCGCTCACCACTTTGGAAGTGACGCATTTCATTTGTCTTGCTTTTTCCAACGCGTGTGTTCTGGACTGCTCGCAACACACTAATATGTCAAAATCTTTGAGTAATCAATGTTACGAGAGCTGGAAACGCCCTGCTTAGACAACGAGATATGCGAACACGAGGCTTTTCCCCCACGGATTCAGCGAAGCGTTTTACTGTGGCCTAGGTTTCTCCATTATCGCGTTCATTACAGTGGCTCTTTTTGAGGTGCGCTTTGGTTTTGGGAATGGGAGCGTCCCATGATCCATGTGAAGCACTGGTTCAAACTTCAACCAATGTGCTTCTCGGTAGCAGGCCCTTGCTCACTGGGCCAACCACAAACATTCTTTTATTCGCACCAGAAGAAACCGCACAGCAGTTGCCATGACGACAATGGTAGTGACTGCAGGGAAAAAATGTAGTGTTGTTGCAAATCATTGACGACGTAATTTGGACTCGAAAATAATTAAAATTGATATCCTTATTATGTCTTAACGGTGCTGCAGTGGCACTTCCCAGCGTAAACATTAGACATAACTAGTCCTGAGGTTTCATTAGAGTATATAATAGCTCAATAGGTATACCTTAAAGGTGGGACACGAAGCGAAGTGAAGCGAGTGCTCTACATTTGTATCAGGGTTTGAACTGAACTAGCCATCTTGAAGATCATTCAGTGTAGTTCACCGCCCCGCCCTTCTTAAGACGTAAACTCTCCTAGTTTCTGAGCTACGCGCTTGCGAAAATGTAAGGACTATTTCGGGGAGAATTTTAAGGTTACTTTTGCATTCCTGGCCTCACAATAACGTCATTCAAATACTGTCATTCCATCTGCCATGCAGCGATCGAGGCAAAGAAAAATATGATTGTCGAGTCGCTTGTATCTGGCGTTCGTGACCATGATTCTCAGATATGCGGCTGTCAACTGGCTCTATATCAGTGTTGGGCGGCGTGCGATGACGTATTCAAACAATGTCGCATCGAGGAGTGCATTAACTTAACAGAGAAAATGTGCTGTCTAGAACAGCCAATTTCACCTAAAAATTTACCGACAGATATAGGTGAGCTCATGTTATCATATGTGACGCTTTCTTAACTGTCTTCAAATGCTGTACATTCTCATTAAGATGAATATTTCAAGATGGCATCTGGCGCAGTCAAGTATGTCAGGCAAAACCGAGGCTGTCCTATAATGCGGGAATTTGAAGTCATGACTACAAAACTATCGTTATGACCCTATCTAGTTGAACATTTCAGGCAATACTTGAAATAATACCAGTTCGTGGGCGTTTTCATTTGGTACCATTATAAGCCCACCCGCGTGGCCGATGCAGGCGTTTTATGCAACACCGCAGGAACAGTAGGCATTTCAAGGAGGGCCTGGCCAAACTGAGAATATATTTAGATAATAAATATAATATAATCGACTAATAACAAGTGATGGAATGTAACTGATTGATAACAATTTACATCATATAAGTAATATAATGCGAGCGCACATGATCAGCCATGCATACCAGTGGTTATGTTCTAGACACAAAAAGCAAAAATATATGAGTTTTCGGCCCAGATGTCTACAGTTGTATGCAGCAGACAGACGGCTTGAGGCCGAAAGCTCGATGTGCATTTTGACGTGTTCAGCATGTTCAAAGTGTAAGTATTGACATGCAGCTAATCATATGTGCTCTTATTACATAGCCTAAAATGATGCCAGAAACTATCCGTACACTAAAATGGAGTATACATTACGCTGAAGCCGTTTCATCCTTGTTGGTTGATTGGACCACCAGTGTTGCTCACTGTGGTTTCGCCTGATAGGATGCGATTAACCATGCGCGTAGCCACATGGGGGGGGGGGGGAGGGCAAAAGGGCCATGCCCCCCCCCCCCCTGGAAGCCAACAGATCCATCTGTTTACCTTAAGAGGACCTTGCTAAATTTGCATTTCTTAGAGGACCTTTTCCCCTTCCAATCCGCTGTGGGCCTCGCCCGGCATTTGTGCGGGGCCTGTTGACTTAGAGGGCCTCTGTCGACATTTAGATGGTCCTACCGATCTTTAAAGGGCCCTCTTACAGCATTCAGGACCTCGTCGATCTGCAGAGGACTTTTGGCGGCTCAAGATGACTCCTGCCGGTTGTAGAGGGCTATTTCCCAGCCTTGCCTGCTGCTGGCCTTTTTCGGCCCGGGCAACATAAATTCAAAGGTTCACCGAAGCACGCGGGAACCAGGGTGGGGGGGGGGGGGGGAGGGAGTGGAGACAGCTCAGCTCCCTCCAACTTGGAGGGCCTGTGGAGGGCCAATTCTGGTTTGTTAATGGCTGATTCTGAACTATTAAGGGATTATGCAATCCTGTAAGAGTTCACTTCACACTTCACACTCACACTTCACTCTGACCTGCCGACGTCTCATTCTGCCCTATTTAGGATCCATTCTGACCACCAGAAGGCATTCCTGAGCCTCTATAGGGCTCATGATGACCTGTTGCAGCCTCATTATTGACTGCGGCGGACCTATTCCCGTCTGCAGAGCCCTATTCAGATTTGTGGACGACTATTATGGACTGGATGACCCATGGGCAGATCCAGAATTTCGTCAAGGGGGGCCATGCAACATTGTGGGGCTTCGCTTAAGCTTAGCCCCCTCCAAAAAATTACCGCACTCCGGCCATTAGCTCTATTAGCATAGTCCTTCGTATACTATTTTCATTCGGGAATCCATCTTACTGTGCGCAGCCCTAAAAAAGGCATACTGCGTGTGCAAATACATAGCGCCTATTAATTTTCCCCAGTTCATGGTGAATCCTGCCGTGTTGGGGATAGCTTTTTCGGAAAAGCATGGCAAACTAAACTTAAGTTGGCTGTTAAGTACCGTTCAAAACAATCACGGCCTTGATTGCTCGCTAATTTACATTTGACCGGCTGGCCAACGTCATCAGGTGATGGCTGATGACTAACGCAGTGCTTTTTTGTTTGTTTGTTCGGAAGAAGTACGAAAAATCCCGGCTTTCAAAACTTATTAACAGCGTGAAGCGCAGGTAATATAAGTGCCACAACTCCAATATAATCAACGGAAATAACACCACGTCCGCGGCACGCAAAATTATGTCCGATAATCGCGCACAAAAATTAATTGGCTCATATCCGACTGCTGCTCTAAGGATGAGGCACCCAGGCCAACAGGGACGGAGCCTGAGCGAATATGGGAAGCAAAAGGTTGCTTTTAACAATGAGCTAAAGCACACTCCTCACAAATCTTATTACCTGGATCCCGAGCCGATTGTTTCTAACAATGCCGATAATTTCTACCAATGTCCTGTCAGTGAGTCATATGACTTAAATTTAACTGGTAAGATAAGTAGACGCAGCACACCTCAGACAAATCACGACGTTATTTCAGAGAGTTAAAACTAACAGCACGCGGCATTAGTTGAAAGCTTTTTTTCAAAATCAGCACAACTTTCCTCTACGCTATTTGTACGCATTTTCACTTAACCAAATGATTCACTGTAAGTAATGTGCCTGAACTGAGCTGAATACTGAAATTTGTAACCGCTCTGAGTCACGAGCTGAATTGGATCCCAAAATCTGCGACCCGGGCCTGAGTCGGCTAAAACTGGGTCGAACGCAGGCCTGCCAATAGCGATAGGAAAGCTTGATTCATCAAATCTGATGTCTACTTCAATACCTTCAATTGTAGAACATTTCCTTCAATGTGGATCAGTGGGGGGGGGGGGGGGAGGGGAGGGGGATGTGACCAGGTACGACACGAGGGACGGGGCGTGCCTTGCAGTTGGGATTGGTATGCAGGATCCCCTAACCACCAAATACGAAAATACCCCTTGCCCCGTCCCATGATTCTAGCCCCCTGGTGAGAGAGCAAACACACGGGTGCAGCTCTGAGCCCGGAGCGACGCGTTCTATCCTGTGTTGGCTGTGCTGGCGCATCGTACGTCTACAGCAGAGGCCGTAATCTAATAATAGGCAGCGCCAGACGTTTTAACCACGTGGAAGTACACCGTAACTGTAGTACACTACACTTACACTGTAATTTCCATGCAGCATATACAGTTGTCCACAGCCCACTACATCGTAGTAAGCGGTGGACAACCCAACTCCCAAGCATACACGTGCGACCATCTCGAATCATGAACATGAGAGAACTGCTCAACATGTTCTTTTTATGTCGCGCCACCTTTTGTGCTCAGGCAGACATGAGTAGGAAACGTCACGTTCTTTATTACCACCATACAAAATTACAGCCAGATTCCGTTCCATTTACAAAAAGTGTTCCCAGCATTCCTATCATACCCAATGAGCAACACTCAGTGACTAATTTGTTACGGATTCACGCCATATACGCTTTATCGCATCCGAAACACAAAAAAGGTGCCACCCTTGGATGGAAGGTCGTCCACTTGACGATCCACACATCCTGGATATGTAACACCCGCGAGATAGCCCTAAGGACGTCCTCAGAGTCACGGACCACACACATAGTCCTCTCTGCCTGCGACGAACGACGTGACCACACTCGACGTGTGAACAACCGAAAACGAACAGCCTTTCTCAGCAGCATGGTCCTGACCACACATCGCCGCTCCACACAGCAGAGCTTCGGCTTAGTACCACAGTGCCAAACACGGCAGAAAAGTTGGTCGCTCACACTCGTTCCACGAACGAGAACTCCCTGGGATGGCTAGGCACGATGCACTATGGAAGAGTTTGACGAGGTACGACAATGAGCTGCGCAGTACCGACATTCCGCCCTAAAGTCAGCTGACCGACCCTCAGCTGCGGCCTGCGATCGACCGCTGTAGGCCGGCGCTACGAGCACGCCTCCTGTCGCTGTGGGCAGCTCGCCAGCCGTCCACCAGCCGGCCGCAGCCGCGGCTACCTGCCCAGTGAGTTGGTGAGCCGCTCCATGCGAGCCAGCGAGGCGGAGGTGGCGGTGCCGGTGGTGCCGGCCGCGCCGCCCGCCGCCTGCGGCACGCTCAGCACCGTCAGCCGACCCTGCGACTGGTGGTGCAGCAGCGCCGGGTTCGGGATCTTGCGCACGCTGGCGCTGGCGGCCGGCCGGCCCCGCGGCGAGTCCGCCGCCACCTGCTGCTGCTGCTGCTGCTTGTGGAACTGCTGCGTCTGCGCCAGCGAGATGAGGTTGCCGAGTGCCGACGGCTGGACTGGCGAGGGTGACTTCTGGCCGCCGCCGGCGGTGGGTGCCGCCGCCTCGCCCTGCCGCTGACTCTGGATCTTGCGGAGGGCCAGGCTCTCGGCGATGGCCAGCAGCTTGGGAGAGTTGGGCGGCCGGGCGCCGGGCGGGCCGGCCGGCGGCGGCCGCTGCCGCGGCGCCGTCGGTGAGCGCACCTTCTCGATGGTGACGCTGCTGCCGGCGCGGTCACCGCACACCGGCGGACTGTGAAGTGTAACGCGAGGCGCCGGGCTGCCGAGCAGCGACGCCGCAGCAGTGGCCGGAGCCGCTGGCTGGGAGGCGGGCGGCGCCGGCTCGGTCCGGGGCGAGGCCACCGACCGGCCGCCGGCCGAGCCGGGGCCCGCGCCAGCCGCCGCCCCCGGCGCACGCCACGACGATCGCGACGTGTTCGGGATCTTGGTAATGGTGATCTCGTTGGTGACCAGGTTCTGGATACCCTGCGCGCTGTTCAGGCGGTGTTTGACCACCTTAGCCGGCGCCGGCTTCAGAGAGACCGGCTTGAGCCGCTTGGCCGCAGTGACCTGGGCCGGGCCCGGGGCCGACACGCGGGTCAGCAGAGACGACGTGTCGGCCGGCAGTCGCCACGAGCCGTTGGGCTGCGACACGGCTGACTGTGTGACCATCTGCAGGAAGCGGTCCAGCTGGCCCGTCATCAGCGGGATGGCGCCGGCGCCGGCACCGATCGGACGCAGGCCTGGCAGCGGCGCCAGGCTGCGGCGCGGCGCTGGCACGGCCGAGGACGCACCGCTCGCCGTCGACGGCCGCGGCGCCGGGGCCGACCGCGGATTGCCAGCCGGCGGCCGCGGCCGCGGTGGCGCCCCGGCCATACCAGCCGGGCTTGACCGGGCGACGCTCGGGCTCGACACGGACCACGTAGCGGGCGGCGCGGGTGTCGGTCGTGGCGGCAGGCGGGCCGGCGACTTCCCCGCGCGGGCGGGCGGTGGCCGGCTGGTCACCGGCGCCGGCGCCGGCGCCGTCGGTAAGCCCTTCAGATGCACGGCCGTTTCGTCCTCGGCCTCGGCATCGAAGTCGTACACGTCGATGGGCGACCTGGCGCTGTCCAGGCCGGCCCGCTCCGACGAGTCGGTGTCGACGCCGCTGTCCTCACAGTGTTTGTCGTCGGCTGACCTGCCCACTGCCTCCGCGTTCGTCGGTGGACCGGCGCCGGCCCGCGCTGCGGGCTCGCCCCTGGGGCCGGACACCGCCAGAGCTGTGCACGACCCCGGGGCGTTACCAGGCGGGAGCGTCTTGGGCTTGAGGGCGCTACCGTTTTGCGTCACACCATTCTTCGCAGCGCTACCGTCTTGAGAAACACGCGGCTTGGGCGCGTTTCCGTTCTGCGCCGCAGCCGGTTTAGCGACGTTGCCGTTCTGCGCCGCAGCGGGTTTGAGAGCGGTGCCGTTCTGCGTCGCAGCGGGCTTGAGAGCGCTACCGTGGTGCCCTACAGCGGACTTGAGAGCGCTACCGTGGTGCGCTGCAGCGGGCTTGATAGCGCTACCGTGGTTCGCTGCAGCGGGCTTGAGAGTGCTGCCGTGGTTCGCTGCAGCGGGCTTGAGAGCGCCAATGCTCTGGGCAGCGCTTTGCTTAGGAACATAACCGTTTTGCGGGACAGCAGACTTGTGAGTGGCACTCGGGGGCACACCAGGTTTGGCGGCGCTAACGCTCTTTGGAGCGATGGGTCTGATAGGATTTCCGACACGGGTTAGGCTGGATTTCCCGACGTGACAAGGAGCGCTACCTTTCTGTGAAGTGAGTGGTTTGGGAACAATGATATTTGGCGCCACGATCGGCTTCTGAAGGTCACCATTCGGCGACGCGCTGTGTTTCGGAGTGCTGACGAGCTGAGCCGCGCTGGACTTGGAAACAGCGCTGCTCACGGCTGCAGCCCGCTTGGACATATCACCGTTTTGAGGAATCCTTGGATGCGACTCGGGTGACTCTTGGGAAGCCTTCGGTTTCGTTATTGCTCCATTAGGCATGACGAATGATGGCTTTGAGTCATCGCTGTTTTGCATATCCAACGACGCATCTCTGGGTGCGACGCATGGGAGCCTAGCATCGGCTTTTGAAGCGGCCGTGTTCTCCTCATCCCTAACAGATACAACAACCCCATTCCCCTGGCTGTTGTCCGCAGCACTAGTCTGTCCAGCACCGCCGGTGGAGACCAGCGTCACCTCCTTCCCCGACTCGTTTTCAGAGAAAACAGAGCTCCCCGTTCCCACTGTGGCCGCAACATCGGATTTCCTGCCATCGGCGCCGGGTGCGCCGACGGTCTGCGGTCCCACACAGCCGAGCGGCGGCGGCCGGCGCGCCCCAGCCGGCTCCGACACCGCTGACGTCACAGCTGACGTCACTGACTGCCCCGGGGCTTCGGCTTCCCCCGGCTTCACGGTTGTCCGCGCCGCGCCGGCGCCCGGCAGCGTTGCGTCCGGAGGCGCCGCGGCGCGCGCGTCGTTCTCGACGTTCTCCTTGTCGCTGTCGCCGGAGCCGGTGTCCATCGGGCACGACTCCGGCTCCGCAGCCTGCGCTAGCTCCGGCCGCCGTCGCTTGCTGGGCGAGGCGACGGGCGCGCTCGCGTCGGCCGGCCGTTTCGTGAGGTAGCGATAGAAGAAGCGCATCGGCGCTGTCTGAAACGCAGACAGAGGCTGCATTTCACGGACGCGACCGCTCAGCGCGAACACTAATTTTCCGTCCGTTTTCAACATGGTAGCGGGCGTACAAAACCCGCCGACGCCACGGCCGGCCGACCCGCGGCCGGGCGGTGGTGCCGGCAGGAGCGCAGGACGCTGCCGGGAGATCGAGCTCAGGGTACGGGCAGGATACGGGGAGGGGAACGGTTTGATGAGGAGAAGGAGTGCACGATGGAAGGATCCCAAAAGACAAAAACCACAAGTGATCTAAGACGACTGGGCGTTCTCAGGCAGAGAAAGCGTGGATGAACACGCGAAACCGACTGAATTGGAATTAAGAGTTAGGGACCAAACGCCGACGGGAGTAATCTCACGTCTGGAGCGCGAACAGGCTGGTAAACTGATAACAACGGAACACTCACTTGACCGGAATCATCTCCAATAACCTTAGGTAATCCATAAAACCACTTACTCGGTCCCAATTGTGCATGTAGGCGACGTCCATGATAATGAGCTCTTCAGACAAGATGTCTCCCACCGTAGAGATATCAATATTAAGGAAGTCGAGAACACATTATAACCTCGCAAATCGGTACAGTCCCGTTCCCCATGTGGCTCTGAAAAGAACGGTTTCTTCAGCTGCGGACAACAGGTGGCCGATCCCAACTCTATGCGGCTGCGCAACAATCGACTGAACAGACAACACCAGCCTCTCATTCAACCGGGTACCTCCAGCGTCTGCCTCAGCAGTCGATCGAGCCCAGTGGCGCGCCTCACATCTCGGGCACTCCACTGGGTGGTGCAGCCGTCGTGGCCCTGCACCAGGCTGGTGCCAGCCGTGCGCAGCCGTGACCCCACTGGCGTGGGCAGCCTGCCCGCACCAGCCCCTGACCCCACCTGGCTGGTGGCGGCCGTGCCCGCACCAGCCCTGCACTGGGCTGTGTGCCGGCCTGCCCGCCACCAAGCCCCGTGACCACCCCTGGCTGTGTGGCCAGCCGCCCACACCAGGCTCCAGTGACACCCACCTGGGCTAGTGTGGCCAGGCCGTGCCAGCCCGCACCAACCTGGGCGTGTGAGGCCGTGCCGCACCCCACACCCACTGGGCTGTGTGGCCAGGCCGTGCCCCGCACCAAGCCCCGGTGACACCCACCGGGTGGTGGGCGTGCCCGCCAGCCCCGGGCACCCACCTGTGTGGCCAGCCGCACCAGGCTCCAGTGACACCACCTGGGCTGGTGTGTGACCGGCCGTGCCTGCACCAAGCCCCGGTGACACCCACCTGGGCTAGGTGTGGCCAGGCCGTGCCCCGCACCAGGCTCAGTGACACCCACCTGGGCTAGTGTGGCCAGTGCCGTGCCCCGCACCAAGCCCCGGTAACACCCACCTGGGCTAGTGTGGCCAGGCCGTGCCCCGCACCAAGCCCCGGTGACACCCACCTGGGCTAGTGTGGGCCAGGCCGTGCCGCCGCACCAAGCCCCGGTGACACCACCTGGGTTGATGTGGCCAGCCGTGCTTCATGGTCAGCAGCTTCCGCAGGTGACCCACGCTGAGGCCGGGCCGGCGCTTGAAAGAACCGTTTTGGAGGCGTGCGTGTCTCCTCGTCAACCGACCTGCGACAGACAAGCCGTTGATTAGTGCTGATCACAACAGATGACTTCCCCGACGCCCTGGGGACAGCCCTGATGTTCCAATGATGTTCGGCAAGATCCCGTTTGGCATGGTACCACCAAACAATTGCAATGCTTACGAGCATCCTAAGAACAATCAGTCATGGTTTATTCGCATGCTGTGTATCCTTACTCTTTGACTCACAGCTTAATTGCAAACTGCCAGATCATTGGCGCATTTGCAGAGTCACACTCTCCCTTGTTTGAATATTGCGTCTGGTTTAGGCATAAGGGCAGGGGTGTAGCTTCATTTTTAGTTGGGGAGGCTTCAGGCCCCCTTCCCCCACTTGGACTTAGCCTCTCCCGCCAAGTTTGAGAGAAAAGTGGACGAAATTCGTGGCGAAGCACATCTGTTGACGAATTTTAGGGGTAGGTTTCATAAATGTTCACAGTTCAGCCCCCTCCCCCAACTCACTTTGCGAATATGCGCCCCTGCATAAGGGCGCTGTATTTGCTTGGTTATGCAGTTTCGGTGCCGGCGCTAGTGCCACGGAGGCAGTGCATCGTATAACCCAAACCTCTGCAACTGCATGCCCAGGTCCTTCTTGTTTTTCTTGTGAATGCATGTAACAAGCGGACTCACCCAGCCTGCAGCGCCCTTGACACAATCTTTAATAAGGTTCGGTTTGGCGTTGAAGCATTGCTTCACTCGGGCCATAAGCCTCTGTTGCCCAGCGTGGGACGGGACGGGTACCGGCACCGGCAGCGGCACGCGATCGCCCACAAATCCCTCCGCCGCTGAACATCGGGCCGCTCGAGTCCACTGGATCCCCCCCCCCCCCTCCCGTGCTCCACAATACCAGCCGCGCACAACGAACCCACTCTCGCGACACCACACGTTCATAATCAAGTCGCGCGCCGATTACGTCGCAGGAGCGCCCGATGAGATCGAGCGCCGCGCGGGGCCCGATCGCTGATCAGAGGCTGCACGCTCCAATTGGCCGCGCTCGGAAGCGGTCGCGGCGCTGCTAGGTATCCCCGCAGCGGGAGGCGCCCGGGGTTCGTCGGCACGTGTCGTGGGCGGCGGTACCTCCGCTGCAGGGGAAGTCGGCACCGTGCAGCCAATGCCGGCTGCAGTTGATTGTACCGTCGTAGGGCGAGCCGCGTCTGGTGCCGAGCAGCCGTACCGGGAAAGGGGCGGGGAGAATGGGCAGGGGGAGGGGGCAGGAGGGGGGGGGGGGCAGGTGGGCTGGAAGGGAACCGGTCCCGCCTGATCTATTTGCCGCTGTCATGCCGCTGCTCACGAATGCACAAGTCATTACGCACAATTACCGGTTACGGGCTGTGCGGCAGACTCCTCGTTTATACTGGGCACGGCGCCGTATCGATTCTGGGTTCCTGTGGCATAAAGCCAGCACTTGAGCCACGGTTTGTCACGACTCGGGCTGAGCAGACGCAGGCGCCTCTGTTCGCACCGATTTGTCGACTTTGGGCGGGACGAACACGGTAGTAAAGAAGGCAGCCACGACGTTGCCTTGTCGCCGAGTGACAACGGGCTCTGGAACCGTGCTGCATTCTGGGTGTTTGTAATGCCTCCTTGTGAAACATGGCATGGTCCGCTGTGGCATCAATGATCTAACAACTTACATGATCCCTCATCATCCAAGCGAAGCACTAGAAATGCAACCACCGAGGAAGTATAAACGTAGCGGCTGCCAGGCAACCTGGGCTAATGGGCGTGCCTGCCGCCGCCCCCCTGTTTTGGTCGCTTGTCTAAAAACACGTGGCAAATCGAACCAAGACGGTGTTGTGGAAAAAGACGGCCGGAAGGTGGGTGAACCAAACTAATTTTTGAGTTCAGTTCTTTCCATGCATCACCATGCTATTGGCAAAATTTCACAAAAAGTTCCAGCTGGCCATATTCAGTTTCTACAACATATGCTTCAATGCGATGTTTACCATGAGCCCTATTCAGAATTATATCTTCTCTTCTAAGCCTATCAATACAGAGACGATTTCGGCATACCCACGCCGGCCGACAAATGGGGCCTTAAACAGCAGGTAGCAGGAGCGGCGGATGTAGTGGTGGCCGACCCCCGGGTTGACGGCCAGTCGGGCGGGTCACAGAGGCAGGCCTATCTGGCCCGTCTATCTGGCCGCGCGGCTTCTGTCGGGCAGCGGCCGGCTGCTCCACTCGATCTCATTATCAGCCGCCTCTCGAGGCCGGCCGGGCCGCGCCGGGCCGGGCCGGGCCGGGCCGAGCGCTCCGACGCTCCGCTTCACTCCTCAATAACGGAACGGCGCACGGCGGCGAATCAGAAAAACCGTCGGCGCGCGGCACCGCGCCGCGGCAGCTGGCGGCACGCGTTCCAGTCGGGACGGCCGGCGCCGCGGTCGTCTCGGCCGGGGAGGAGCCGGGGTTACGCCGCGACCTCGGCCAGGGTGGCTGCGCGGCAGGCCGTCCCCGCCCGAGGGCCCGGGTGCTGCGCATGCACACCGCCCGCTGTTATGGGGCAATAAATCCGGCGGCGGTGTGTTGACTGGCCGGCGCCATTCGCGTGCCGCGGCCCACTGATTTCGGAAGATTACAAAATTGGTCAGTACCGGCCGACTCGATCCGTCTTTTAATGGCGCGCAAGGGACGACGGCTTTCCAAACAAGCTTGGAGGCTTTGAACGGTACCTGTGGACATGATAACATAAAATCTAAGCTTTGGTCAGCCCTTTTATTTAACTGAAGACTGCTTTGGAAGAAAACCTTATTACAAATCCCAAAAGTGCTCCAGATCAAGAAACTGTTGTGAGCTCGTGACGGGAAACTGCACCTCGCAATGTGTTTAAGAAGATTTGGTGGGAGTAGCTCGTCCAAGTTGTGTAAATTCACACCACGCAAATCCAAAGTGGAAACTGGTTTTCCGTCATGATTTTAGCCACTGGTGATTATCAGACCAACGCTTTCTTCAATTTCCCCACCAACCTTTCAAAAAGGTGCCGCACATACTCCAATGAGGTAACCAGAATACTGTTTTCCACAAAGTCTTCACCAGCAATCCAACCGCGCCTGCGCGTTGTCAGGGCGCAAAAGGATTAAGTCATCCCGGCAACATTCCAGCAACATCGACAGGCCTACCATTTTATTTCACACATGCACTGAAAACCCACTTAGGCGCAATGTCCCTAGCAAATGTTCTTTCAAATTAACGAAAACTCAACCCAAAAACGGCAAACCAGCCAACAGTTTTGCTACCATATAAGGTGGTGCTTACAAAATACAAAATGCAGCGCCAGTCACAATCTGATTTGCCATTTTTTAGCCGCCAGCAGCCGTAGCTACACCACGGGCTGAGGCTAGTAAAAAAATTCGGCGAAAAATCAAGGTGGCTGACCCCCAACGTAACGCCATACTTGTTCGCACGTGTTGAACTCTATTCACTTTGAATTGGAAAGAAATGGTTTCCCGAATTTTCAGATCGCCACACACGCTACGGTCGCCGACAGATCAGATAAGCAGCGGCCCCGGGGCCGGTGAGCTGCGCCCCGAATGGCTGCTCGCTATGCTCAGGTGATCACCACAAAGCTGAGCGTGCAGGTCGGGTACCTGGTAGCCACGCAATTAACGATTGCTGAGCATTCCAAGACCGTTCAGGAAACATGCTCACGCGGCGGGAGCCTGGGGTAGCTGGTCACACAGGGAGTCAGATGGGCATATGATACCCTAACGGGCATATGCAACACTCAAATGATACGGGGCAAGTGCCACGAACGGCGAACTGGTGGCTGCATGTTGCTCATGGCGCACCAAAACCATCAACGGCTTACAAGTACTCGATGCTGCTAGAAAACGAATACGTTTCCACCGCAAATCATTGCCATCGTTTCACCCTCTCTTGCAAGGTCTATCCACACCTATCATAAGCAAAACCATCACGTATCCAGGCACGAGGGAAGTTGCCTGCGACTGTCAAGAGAGTAAGGCAGGGGGGGGGGGGCACGGAGGCACTTTTAGGCGTTTCTTTCCATGCACCGCCATAACCTTAGTGCTAAATTATCTGGAATGCTGGGGACACGGGCTCACAAAGCCTCCTCCCATAACACGATAGTTCCCGCGCCTATAATTACAACACAAGGAGAATGAAGACGAAACGAATATTTAAGGGGAGTGTTCCACATATGTATGGGGTTTTGAACTGAAATAGCCATCATGAAGATCATCCGGTGCAGTTTACGGTACTGTCTTCATAAGACTCAAACCGCGTAGTTCCCAAGCTACACGCCCGCGAAGACGTGCGGCCTTCTTCGAGGAGACAATTTCAGGGTCACCTGGCATCCATGACGCTACAGTAATGCCATTCAAATGCTGCCATTCTATGAGCTGTGCGGCAATGAAGGCCAATAAAAATATAACTGAGTCGCTCATACCTGGCGTTCGTGAACATGATTTCCAGATACAACGGCCGTCAAAACCAATACAACGACCCTCAGTCGATGACGTATTGCGGAAAATATTTACTTCACAGAGAAAATGTACTTTCGAGCGCGGCCTTTTCCACTTAAAAGCATATTAAGTGAGTTTTTTCTTCATATCTGATGCCTGCTTTAATGTTTTGAAATGTGGAACATTCCCTTTACGGAGCAACATTGAATGCGAACGGCCGCCCTTAAAGCGAGTATGCTGCCTTTCCTGTACTTTCCTTATTGTTAGATCAGACGCGTAAGATTTGATCGGTGGTACCAGCTTTCCTGAAATCCTTCTAAAAAGCTCAAAATTATTATTTGAAGTAACCGCTCCTGCGGAAAAAAATCAATTTTAACTCCCAGATCACCACCATAAAGTAATGCATCTAATTTGCCCAGCTTTCCCGAAATCCCTCTAAAAAGCTCAGAATTTCTATTTGAAGTAGCCGGTCCTGCGGGAAAAATATGATTAAATTCCCAGATCAACACGATGAAAGTAATGTATTTAATTTGCCTTGCTTCTCCAACGTGTGTGTTATATAACGCTCG